AAAGTATGTTAGACGGAGCCTCAGAATCCTTGCCTCCAAGGAGCCACCTGGTTTAACCCTTTCCAGGACAAATCTGTTTGTTTTCCTAGCCATCCATGGTACTCTCAATACTCTTCTCCAGCATCACAGCTCAAAGGCATCAATTCTCCTTCTATCCTCCTTAGTCATTGTCCAACTCTTTGATGCATAACAAGTGATAAGCAAAGACCATGGCCTGTATCAGATGCACCTTAGTCTCTAGAAAGACACCATTGCTCTTCGGTACCCTGAAGAGGTCCCTAACAGCAGACTTTCCCATAGCAATACGTCTTTTAATTTCCTGGCTACTGGTGCCAGGAGTGTTGACTATGGAGCCAAGCAAACTAAAGTTGTTAACAATCTCAATCTCCTCACCACCCATCCTGATGCTGCCAATTGGCCTAGTGGTGAGAATCTTTGTTTTCTTGATGTTGAATTTCAATCCATATTGGAGGCTGCAGTCCTTGACCCTCTGCAGCAAGCGCTTCAGGTCCTCCTCAGTTTCAGCAAGCAGGGTTGTGTCATCTGCATAAAGCAGATTGTTGAAGCTGGAGCAGGACTAATTAGTATTCCCTTCTATTGCACAAGCAGGGCACTGTGATCAAACACACAGCTAACAACAACGTTCTCTATACTTCAACAGTCATGGGCCAGACACTGCACCACATTTTGCAAACATATGGTTGGTTATCTACACCCCACATGCCTCTGTTATGAGGTCTGTGCTATGATGACCCTATATCTTACAGAATTGTGTGTGTTCCCCACTGTTTGCAGCCAGGACGGATCCTCGCGCCATTCACTGGGTACACACCACCACATGCCACCAGTCTATCCACACCAGAGCCCAAGTTTACAGAGATTCTGACCAGTTCTGGAACAGGTCCAAAGCACACAGCTTGCCTTCTCCGCACCTCAGGCGGAGCAGGGAAGTAAAGGAGGAAGATGAGGACCCAGTTGGTCATTGAAGGATGAAGTCCACTAGACCGAGACAACTAGTGGGCTAGTCCCGCCCACTCCATGCCCCTCCCTTCTAAAAGTGAGCAAACTTAGAAGCCCCAATCCTACAGCTGGTTCATTGGCTAACAATGGCCTCAAAACCAGGCACTGGAGGAGTTCCATGGCCATTCCTGGAGGCAGTTCCAGGCAACCGGGGGCTGGGAGCAGGGACAGTGGTGAGGCCAGAGTCCAAGAATCGCACACAGTAGGGAGAAGGACATATAATGTGGGGGTTGTAATCAACGTCATAAAATAGAAGTATGGCTGAATGGAATACCAATCTCCTGTTAATGTACACTCAAATTATAAGAAAAAAATCATAATTTCAACAATTCATGATAAAACTTTCACAAAAAATGTTCTAGAAAACGAGTCCCTAGAGCAAGGATTCAACACGGTAGACAGATTCCATACTGCGCGCGCGCGCGCGCGCACACACACACACACACACACACACACACACACACCCCCTTTCCCCTCCTCCATTTATCCTGTTGTTAGGCCTTCCAGGTGGGTTTTTCTGGAAGGGTCAGCACTCGTGGAGCGCATGACCCAGTTTACAAACAGGCCCATCCACACCTCACACTGACTGTGAATTAACTACAGAGCAAGGTTAAGGAAACAGCCTAGGGGTGGAGGTGGGTGCGTGTGTTGCAATCTTCCGCACCCCTGCCTGGCTCCCAGGGGTCCACTGGGCAGGACAGGCTGACCAGGACTCCTCCCCCGACTCCACTCCTGCCGTGGCAGAGGAGCACGTGGCCCCGACTCTCGGGAGCCATATCGTTCCAGGAGGTCCGTGTCAGGAAAGGGGAGCCAGTCCCTCTGACGCCAGGGAACCCATCAGCACTCCTCGTGCAGAAGTTCAGATGTCCAGGCCCTTTTTCCGGGTACCTGAGTTCTGACTCTTCATCTTAACAAGTGTACGTAGCGACTCAAGTCTGAGAGTCCACCAACAGTTTAGCGGGAATACGCTGGGGTCCAGCCTGGACACACTGCATCCTGAGCTGGTGTCTACCGAAGATCGCAAAGCTGCACGCTGTCCACACACCCGGCTTGAGGACCTTAGGTTTATGGATGGGTGTGTGAGTGTCAAGTCTGCAGCGGAAACCCACGTGCGGCAAAGGCGAGGGTAGGGGCCTGGGTCGCGTGGGGCGCCCGGGTTAACCCCCTCTCCAACAAGCTTCTCTGCCTGGGCTCAGCATTGTGCCCTGGAAAGCGTGGCCGAGGCGCGCCTACAACTCCCACAATCCAGCACCCTGAGTCGCGGGGAACTACAGATCCCGCGAGGAGCCGAACGCAGAGGCCCGCCTACTCCAAGAGGGCTGCAGAGTCACGTCCAGGCCTCGCTAGTAAACATCGCCGGGACGCAAGCGCCCGGGGCCGCGGCGCCTCCAGGCCGGTCTGCTGCGGCCCGCTCCCCGGGTCACGCCCACGCCTGCACCCCAACGCAAGCACGGTTGCCCTGCTACAACCCGACTCCTTGCAAGCACGCACCGTCCACGGTTACCCGCCCCCACCAGTGTCCCGGAGGAGCGGCATGGCTGCATTATAGCCGCCGGTGCCGCGACTCCTCTCGCGCCCCAGTCCGCCCAGATCTCCCCTCGGGGGGTACCCCGAGAGCGCAAGGAAGGCGCAAGAGGAAGGAAGCGTCTGTGGGACGGGGAGGAGGAAGCGCGGGGTGGGGGGAGCCACTAGCACCCAGCATGGCCGGGACTGCTGCAGAACCACGTGGGTCTGTTTGCAATTTACAAACGCCGCGACTTGTCCGCCTGCAGCGGACAAAAGTGGCCAGGGTTGCTCAGGGCCCCCACGTTCCGGGAGAGCAGAGTCCCCGGGCGGCGTGAACCCAGTTTGTGGGGCTACAGCCCCCTCCGCAGCTAAGAAAGGAGAGAGGGGCCGGCAGCCCGGGCCATGCGTGCGCACACGCGCGCCGGCCCAGGCGTGCTGGGTTGGGGCTTCTATCGTAGAAAAGGGGTAGAGGGGAGCAGTACACACCTACAGAGCCCTCCTATCACTTCTTTCTCTGTTTTCCTGAAATGTTGCAAAGAGGGCACCTTCTGAGTGGGCACCATGAAATACTCCATAGCGATCTGCCCCCCTCCTCTGCACGAGCCAGGTCCCGCGGTCCGCCGGAGAATGTAAGATGGAAATCCGAATCAAAAGGCAGCTCTGGACGGAGGTGCAGGATCGGCCGGTCCCAGATGCTGGCGGCGGCGGCGGCGGAGGCGCGGGGAGGGAGGCGGACGGGAGGGGCGGGAGGGAGGTCTCTCCGGCCTGCCTCCCCGGGCGTGTGTATGTGTGTGTGTGTGTGTGTTTGCAGCTGATCAGATGTCTGTTTCAAGGCGGGAAACAGCTGGTGAAAACTCAGCACTCCCCTGGCCTCCTTCCGCGGAGTAAGGAATTGCATGTAAACAAAGGACTATTTGCAGCGCCCCCCCACCCCTGGCAGCCCAGGGCTAGGGCAAGAGGGGAGCAAACCCCCGTGGGCCGGCTGCAGTCCTGGTCTGTCCGCTTCTTCTGGGCTCTGGGAAACGGGGGCCGCTGCCTGGCTGGGGGGTCCGGGTGTGAATGGAGAGAGCTGCGGCCGAGCTACATGCGCCACTATGGGTGATGAGGTCCATCAGCTGACAGGTTGGCAAGCGTTAGGAGAGGGGGGGGGGGGAAAGGCCAGCCACAGAGAGGGAGCCTAGGCTGCAGGGCAGGGGTTCTGCAGGAGACTAGCCCAGTGCCGCCTTAGTGCTCACGGCGGCACCAGGGGCGGGGTGGGGGTTGGGAGCAGGCAGGCTGTGTGGCCGGTCCAGGGTGCTGCGGAAGGATGCCTGCTTGGAGCAGGGTCTTTTTGGTGTGGGCTTTTTATTTGGGTTTTTCGTTTTGGGGTTTTGGTTTGTGTTGCTTGTTTTGGGGGAAGGGGGTTGGGTTGGTTTGTCTTTTCAGTTTCACGATTGGAACGGCACAGTGTGGAGCCGTTCTGGCGCGCTCCCTCTGTGCCCAGGGTCCCCTGGAAACTTGCGTCACAGCAGTCGCTTCCCATATGTGTCTTGGGGCTGCTGGCTCACCGGCCTCCTTCAACCCTGCCTGTCCAGCTGACCGCCTAGAGCCCGGGAATCCCAGAGCAGAGAGGCGTACCAGGCGCCTCGGATGCTGGATCTGCCCTTGGACACCGAGGCCCCGCCAGGGAGGGAAAGGGGGAGGCAGGCCAAAACGGCAGTGGTGAGGGGGGCGGGAGGCGGCAGGCAGCCAGCAAGTCCGGGAGGTCTGGTAGCTGCTGTCGGCTCCCTCCCACCAGGGTTCCACCGCGAGGCCCAGCGGCAGGAGGCCCGCGCCGGGCGGCCACGGCGGACGCCAAACCTTCCGAGCTGCCCATTCAGTGTGGAGCCAGCGGCGTGGACGGGCTCCCCCGCCAGGGCGCGCTCCAACCGAGGGGTGTCGCCTGAGGCTGGGCGGGAGGGGCACCTTCGCTTGCGTTTCTGTTACACACCCCCTCTTCCGCTCAGGCAGTCGCTAGGTTCCTGGCGGTTCAGGAAACCCAGGCCTGCCTTGGAATGCCCTCACGTCTGCCCACCCCCTTGCCCAAGCCCATGCGCCTTTAATGATCCGCTCAAATCACTCCTCTTCATTGAAACATTCCTACTGATAACAACGATCACTTTTATCGCTAATAAATATTATTGTTGTGTGTTGTCCTCCAGCAGGTAAGTCACTCAGGGGGAGACTGTCCATCCTCCTCCAGCAGAACAGCTGGTGGATTCAAACAGTGTACCTTTTGGGTTGCCAGCGCAACTCCTAACCATTACACCACCAGAGCTCCCTAATAAATATTATTACTGTGACTTATTTCCAGCACTTTAGAAGCCCTGGGACGCAGTGAGTTAAGGCTGCTAACTGGAAGGTCAAAGGTTCTAACCCATTCCAACTAAAGAAAGTTGAAATACCCTAAAGACATACATGCTCTGAAACCCAGGGCAATTCTCTGGTTTTGGTTGCTGATGTCAAGCCGAGCTTTCTCTGCTGCCACCACTGCTGCTTCGCGGGCTGCGAGGCCTGTCGCTGCATGGAGCCCCTCCGAGTGGACTGAAGTGGCTGCTGGCCGGGAGCCAAGGAAAATCCCAGTGCCCCTCGGATTGCATACGAATGGTGAGACTGCCTGGTGAGACTGCCGCGGGTGGACAATGGCTCATCTCGGGCTTTGCCCACCATAATGTCACGTGGACCCTGAGGAACTCTTCACCAAGGTGGACTGCATCGGGAAGGTCTCCTTTGGGGAGGTATACAAGGGCATCAAAAATGGCCCGAAACCTGCCGCCGCCCAAGCTGACAGACCCGCGGCTTCTCTACACAGGCTTCATGGGCTACTGCGCCGGCCTGCTCGATAACGCGTTGCGGCAGAGGCCAGTGCTGTCCACGGGTTTTCATCGCCAGCTTCTATATGTTACTTCCTTTTTTGTTGTTGGATATTATGTTTTGAAACGCCAGGAATATTTGTATGCTGTGAGAGACCATGATATGTTTGCGTATATAAAATCACATCCAGAAGATTTCCCTGAAAAAGATAAGAAAACTTATTCAGAAATTCTTGAACCATTTCATCCCGTACGTTGAAGTCTCAAGAATGCTCCAGTTTCGCTGAAACCTGTTATTTCTGAGTTTTACGGAATGTTTCCATGCTATGAAGTTTGTGTTGATCAATAAGTTAACACCTTTTAATTAAAATAGTCGTCATGAAAAAAAAAAAAATGGCCCCAAGGAGGTTGTGGCCATCAAAATCATCGACCTGGAGGAGGCCAAAGACGAAATCAAGGACATCCAGGAGGAGATCACCGTGCTGAGCCAGTGTGATAGCCCGCTACTTTGTCTTCTACCTCAAGAGTACAAAGCTGTGGGTCATGGAGTACCTGGATGGTGGATCGGCGCTGAACCTGCTGAAGCCTGGTCCCCTGGAGGAGACCTACATTGCCACTATCCTTCGGGAGATCCTGAAGGGCCCGGATTATCTGCATTCAGAGCGCAAGATCCACTGTGACATTAAGGCTGCCAACACGTTGCTGTCAGAGCAGGGTGACTGGACATGAAGTTGGCGGACTTTGGGGTGACAGACCAGCCCAGTGAAATGCAGATCAAGAGGACCACCTTTGTGGGCACCCCCTTCTGGATAGCACTGGAGGTCATCAAGAAGTCAGCCTGTGACTTCAAGGCAGACATCTGATCTCTCAGAATCACAGCCATAGAACTGGCCAAGGGGGAGCCCCCAAACTCTGACCTATACCCCATGTATATCCTGTTCCTGATCCCCAAGAACAACCCCAATGGTAGAAGGCCACTACAGCAAGCCCTTCAAGAAGTTCATAAAGGCCTGACTCAACAAGAACCGCAGACTTAGGCCTACTGCCAAGGAGCTTCTGAAGCACAAGTTCATAGCCGGCTACACCAAGAAGACATGAGCTCACCAACCGTTACAAGCACTGGAAGTCCGAGGGCCATGGAGAGGAGTCTAGCCCTGATGACTCAGACATCGATGGTAATGCAGAGGATGGTGACCAGGATCTCATCTGGATGTTCCCCCCCACCATTCAGTCCAGCCCTCACAGCAAGCAGTGCAAGGGTTCTGCCCTGCATGGCTCCCCAAAGTCCACAGAACCAGTGCAGCATCAGCCAAGGTCCCGGAGCCTGTCCACACTAGTCCGCCCTGTCTTCGGAGAGCTCAAGGAGAAGCACTGGCAGAACGGTGGGGGTGCGGGGGGGGGGTCACCGAAGGAGCTGGAGAATGCCTTCAGTCTGGCCAAAGAGTCCTACCTCAGCATCTCAGACAAGCTGGTGGCCCATCTGGTGGAGCAGGTACAGAGGTTCTCACACAACAGGAACCACCTGATGTCCGCCTGCTGAGGTCACCTTGCCTCACCTGAAGACACAGCCCCTGACACGGACAACACACAGAGGAGCCCAGAGTCCGACCAGACACAGTCACCCCATGCACTGGCTCCCTGAGCCCTAGCTGGTGTTGCAGCAGGACACGTGGGAAGGGCCTGGCGTGGCCCTGAGTCGTCGTCCAGGCTCCCTTGGGGCAGGGCTCATCCTTGTGGTTCTGGGATTCTTGGGTCCTGAATCCTCAGGTCCACTCAGGCTAAAGGACGAAGACACAGGGAAAATTGGCCCTGCCCTCCTGCCATAGATGGGGCCGGACTGTTGTTGTTGTTGTTGTGTGCCGTCGAGTCGTTTGCGACTCATAGCGACCCTATGTACAGCAGCCCTAAACCGTGCTCTATCCTGTGCCAATCTCATTGCCCCCGATACACCCATCCCAATTACCCCAGTCACTGAATCAATCCACCTCATAGAGGGTCTTCCCCTCCTGCGCTGTCCCCCTACTCTACCCAGCATGATGTCCCTTTCTAAAGACCTGTCTCTCCTTACAACATGTCCAAAGTATGTCAGACAAAGCCCCAGAATCCTTGCCTCCAAGAAGCAGCCTGGTTTAATCCTCTCTACGATGAAACTGTATGTGAGACTGGTATCCTGCCTGGGTTTGGGACAAGCTCAGCCCCTGCCTTCTCCCAAGTAGCCTGAAACAAGCTCTGTTCCTGCTACATTGATGTCACCCAGTATTTTTGTTCCTCAGAAGATGAACTTTATTCCCTTACATATCCCCAGGTTAAGCTGTTTGAGAGGACACTTTGAATAAAGATGTGAACTGGGGTGGGGGTGAGGGGGTTGTGGAAGACCTAGGCATGAGCATCTGTACTCTGTCCTACAGGATTGCTGTAAGTCTGAATCAGTTCACCAGTGGATTAGAACCAGTTCTGTCTCTGAGAGAGCAGCAAGCCCATTAGACAGGGCCTATGGTCATTTTGTCTCATTTCGCAAGGCAACACAGGGTTGGGAGACGTGAAGGAAGCAATACTAACTAAACAGACATCCCCAGGCCTGAGTGCCTCCCAGAACATGAAACTATGTCCCAGAAGACGACCTCAGAGAAAGACAAGTCACACATGGAACTGCCTGCTTCGGGGTGACCCATCCATGCAGGCTGGCTAGTATGTATAGCAGCTCCCTCTCTGATGAATCCAGGAAACAACCCAGGAAGAAAATA